CGGCTGTCGCGGCCCGGGCGCGCTCCCAGGGTAACGAGTCGCTCGGACTCGCGGCGAAGCCACGGTGTGAAGCGTCTCAGGTTCTGCTTCTAAAAGCCGCAACTACGTCGGGTCCCACTCGGCTTCCTCATGGGGACGGGGCCCCCGGAGTAAACGCGGGGCTCCCTCGGGCCCAGGCGGGCGTGAACGCCTCTTCGCGAGCTGCTTCAGGGCCCGGGAGCCTCCCTGGCCAGCTCGGGGCCACCGCCCGGGCTGACCCGGTCGGTCCCAGACGAGTGTGGGTCAGGGCCACTGGGGGGCAGGAGGGGCTTTTTGATGGGTTCTGGCAGAGCTGGCGGCCCGCGCGGCCGGTCCTGCTGGGGGGGCGAAGCCCGAGCACAACCCCAGGGCAGTTTTGGACGGACTGGGCCGGGCTTGACCCCAGCCTTCCAGAGCCCGCGTGCAAGCAGCAGGGTCCGCGCCGACCCCGACAGCCCCTCTCCTGCGCCCGAGTGTCAGGCGGGGCGCTGTGCCATTCTCACTCAAGCTCTGGGGTCCCCCCTCCTCTTAAAAGTAGACTGGGCAGCCGGGGCTTTTGAGGTCGCTAACTTGGCCTGCGGTGGACAGCAAGGGGCACGCGAGGGTGTCTTGGGGTGCTCCATGCTGCCAGTGGCCGCAGACGCGGGCAGGAGCCGCCCGGGCCTTGAGCGGCGGCACCGGGAGCTGCTGCGGCTGCGGTGATCTCGCCCCGCTGCACCGCTGGCCCGTGCCCAGGGCCCCAGGCTGCTCCATTCCACGGCTGACCGGTGCACTTGTGCCCCTGGCGCCCCCGCATTCAGGGTCACTGCTGTGACAGCCTGCCCTGCCCTCCCCCCACCCTGTCCCTTCACCCCATGCGAAACCTCGTCCCCCCCCAAGTCAGCTGCTAGCCAGGCAGTTTGTTACTCTGCTGAAAGCCGCGGTTCTGGGAAGGAGCTGGATTGCTCAGGAGCGAGGGGAGCATTGCTCCGGGTAGCTTGAATAAAAGGGGTTCCAGGTGCTCTCACATGTAGGCTCTGGGGTGCCAGCACATAGCACCACAGAGCGGACCCACCCAGGCTTCTCCCCCCTGCGTCCCCCCACATCCCGGCTGCAGCCTGTTGTCCCCCGTCCCCCCACATCCCGGCTGCAGCCTGTTGTCCCCCAGATAGTTCTCCAGTGTAAAGAGAAAGCCCGAGGCGTCCAGAGGCCGAGGCCACACCCACAGCTAGTGCTGTGCACCCCGTTCTGCTCAAACTTCTGTTGAGTGACTGGTGTGTGCAAGACGGCTAAGATGATGCAGAACGTGTTACCTGTCTCGGGAGCCCCGTCCGTGTGGCCACTTCTCAGGGGCGTGCAGGGCCGCGGGAGGCGCTGCTGTCCATCTCGTCCTCCAGGTCCCAGGTGGCTCCGGGGCTCCCGGCCTGGCTCGGGCAGAGGCTTCTGCTTAGTGGAGGTCACGTCAGCTGTGGAGCCAGGTCCCCTCGCTCGGGCTGGGGAGTCCCCCGGACCCCAGCTGCTGCTGGCTGGCTGCACATGTATCCACCAGTCTCAGACTGAACTTCCACAAGTCTATTAGGACATTTTACCATTGCATTTCTGGGGTGTCACTACTTGTTTTCTTTAAGATTTCTAACAGTGCTGTAAATGCTCATCAAGAATAGAAAGAAATGGCTGGGCCCTCCCTGGTGGCGCAGCTGGTGGGGACGCAGCACTGCAAGCTGGCTGCAGCTGCTTCAGTGTGAGTTCGATCCCCAGATCCGGAGGTGACCCACAGGGTGCAACAGACCTCCCCTCACCTGCCCACTGCTCCCCTCAGCAGTGTACTTCGTCGGTCTTCCTGTCCTGCTCCCCACCTGTCTCTGGTGAACCCTGACACTGCCCCTGCACCTCTGACTTATACCCCAGTTCTGTCTGTATAAATAAAATAAATCTTTTTTTAAAAAATGCAGCTGGAGGCCCTCTCTGGTGGCGCAGCGGGTTAAAGCACTGCACTGAGAAATTAAAGCCATTTCCACATGAGTTCGATTCCCGCCTGCCCCGGAGGTGACCACAGACCTCTCCTGACCCGCCCGCTGCTCCCCTCAGCAGTGTACTTCGTCCATCTGCCTGTCCTGCTCCCCACTCTGTCTCTGGTGAAGCCTCTCGCCGCCCCTGAGCCTCTGGACTGTACCCCAGTTCTGTATGCACAAATAAATAAATCTTTAAAAAAAATGCAACTGGACTGGACACTAACGTGGGGGCGGCGGGGCAACGCTGACCTGTGGCTGCCCAGAAAGACTCACCTGTGCCTTTGTTCTGTTCTGTTGCAGGTTAACGAAGCCCTTGTCCTTTGCGGACTGTGTTGGGGATGAGCTGCCGTGGGGCTGGGAAGCAGGGTTTGACCCCCAGATTGGTGTCTACTACATCGATCATGTCAACAGTAAGTTCTCCTTGGCGGCAAGGGTCAGACACACTAGCAGGATGACCCTCGCCAGCCTCGTCGGGCAGAGCACACGTCAAACACCTCAGTTTCTTTACAGCACTGTCACTCTGCCGGATGACGAATATTTAATCGAAAGGCATCTTGGCTATTGGGAGCCGGTGTGCAGAGCTGTCTGTCTGCTGTGTGCCAGCATGGGGAGAGTTTCCTTCAGTGCAGAGCTGGGGGCCTGTCACCCCCCAGCCCTTCAACCCCTCTCTTTGTGACGGCTACACCTTGAGACGGGGACACGGGCTCCCCTGTACTTAGCCTGGTGACGAACCCCTAAAAAAAGGGGGGGCCTGGGGCCAGCCAGGTGTGTGAGGGTGTGGTGGGGGAGCTTGGCCCTCATAGTGACTCCTCACAGGCCCTGGGGCTGTGGCGAAGACCCCAGTCTCGCCCGTTGCTCCCCGTAGTAGATACAGCCATGGCCTGGTGTCGACGGTCGGCATCAGTTAACGTAAGTACAGGGAACAGTTCTGCCAACTTTTGTCTTTGCCTCCCTTTTTAAAATAATATTGGAAGAAATGTAACTTTGTTCAGAGAAATCTCTCCCTGAAAGTTCCTACAAATGTATAAAGAATTTGTAATTGGGGTTTCGAGTTAGCTTTTATTTTTGTATTTTCTGACAAGCCTCTCTTGGTTCTGTATCACATTCTAGGTTTCATTGCTTCTCAGTGTTTAACAGTTGTTTTAATGCTGTGCCAGGAGCTAATTTGGTAACGTTAAATTAATTTTCTATTGCTGTAGTTCATTCGTGAGCCATTGCAGATAAACAAGGCAGTGGAATATGACATGTATAGCGAGTTACATCTCATTTTTAAACTTATTTTATATGGTAAAAGTTTATCTTTTTCCTGTTTGGGAAACCAGAAGCAAACCTATCTGTGGTGATTTGGCAGAAACAGAAGCTCTAAAGGAGAAGAAAAAAAATTCTTCAACTTCCCTCCCACTCCCTACAGATTCTCTGGTTTCTAGACTCGTGTTTAAGACCTTCTTTGTTGGGGCAAGAGGTAGTCTTCTGGTCACACCCCCAAGAAGGGACTCCCTCTTCATAACTTTAATATCGGGTTCTCTGGCCAATATTTTGTGCCTTTGCTAGTTATGTGCCAGTTTAAAAAAAAAAAAAAAACTCTCCCACCTTTTCTATTTCTAGTGATTCTTCTGCTTTAGTGCGTAAACACGGAAAGTTCTTAAAATGGATCCAACTAAAATGGCCAAAAGAAAAACACACAAACACACGCCAGTTGCGCTGTCTGTGTTGCCGAGCCCAGGCCCTTGCCGGCACTCACCTTCCCTCCTCCCCATGACCGGGAAGCTCCCTGGAAGCCACCGTCCTTGTGCCTTCCAGGCCTGCCTGGGCTGAGGCCCGAGACCCCCACCTCAGCTGGTCCCGGTTTGGTTCCCTGGGGCTGGTGGGACCGTTGCCACGTGGGCCCTGCTCGCTTACTCTTTCCCCCTTTCCATTTCATGACACCCCCCAGTTGGACTTTTGGGGACACACCTGGCTGCCCCCGCCCCATCTCTTTTTCTTGTCCCTGCGTCACCACGCCTGGTGTCGGGATTGCTGAGGGTCTCCTGTTTGTCCCTCAGATCTGGCGGTGATGACTTCGTGCTCTTCTTGGGGGGGCCTCTCTCGTCCACGGCCCCCGGCCCCCACCTCGTCTCCTGTCGGGCACAGGCGGACGCTGCAGCAGAGCGGGGCCTCCTTGGCTTTCTGGCTTTCCCTTGTCCAGACCCTGGCACTTCCATCTAGGGTCCCCTGTTGGGCCCCAGTGGTGCTCAAGGCAGGTCCCCCCGCTGATTCGGAGTCAGGTGCCCCGTGCTGGCTCTTGGGGGGTTTTAGAACGCACTTGCCTTGGCGTTGAGCTGTGTATCTACATCGCAAGCTTCTCGTGGGCAGCGACGCCACCTTCTATTTTTTTTATCTCAAAGAGCCTAAGAGATGATAAGCTCTTAAATATTAGAAGGAAGGAAGAAGTTTATTAGTGAAACCTTATACACAGATTAAAAGTGTTCTTGGTTTTTTAAGGAATGAAAGTGCATCTCAAGTATAAATTTTGCTTCAGAAAGGACCATTCTGAATATATAAAAACTCGATTCATCATCAGAATATACACGCATAAGTCTACCATTTTGCTGCAGTAAAGGTGGCCCAGCTGCCTGGTGGATTTACTGGGCCCTGAGTGCCCAAATTCCCCACAGCAAGTAGTTTTCGCACTAAAGAGGGTCTGCTCCATTATCTCATTAATCTTCAGGCAGTCCTGACGGAGTTCAGGAGCAAATGGTACCATCTTCCAGAGCAGCTGGCCCTCACAGATGCTGTGTCTTGACATTGTATGGTTTCAGCACTATTTTCTCTTCATTTTAATAAAAGCTGAAATGAAGGATGTTTGGCTGCCTAATACCATCTCGTTGGAACACAATTAAATACCTAGAAGGAAAAGATTTGACCTTGACAATGATGCTGTATAGACCTGTGGGAGATGCTGATAGCCGGCTAGGAGGAAATTCCGAAGTGTATCGACGATAGCCTCTGTCCGCAACCAGAGCTCGGTGCAGCCAGAAGAAAATCACTTTTAGGGGGAGTTTCAGAGTTGCACCTTAATATCTTGGTTTTCTTTTACTAAGTGATGTCTCATTTACATACAAGAAAAAGATAGTTTTTAATTGCATATTTCAGTAAAATTTGACAATTGCAGTGTTTTGTCACTCCCGTCAAGATACAAGATAGTCTTTCCTGTTTCTTCCCAGCCTCTCACTGCTGAAATTGTTCTGTTTTCTGCCATCATAGTTTGGTTTTGCCTGTTCTAGACCCTCATGTAAAGGAAGTGTGTTCAGTTTTGTGAGTGGATTCTTCAGTCAGTAAATTTTCTGGGACTGGTACTGCTGTGCCGCCATCCTACACTGTAATGTGCTGCTGATACTTACTCTATCATGTAGTGTAGTGTAGCGTATATATTACAGTGTAGGCGTGGCGTGGCGTGGCGTGGTGTGGCGTGGCGCAGTAGAGTGTACCGCTGATGACTATACTGCCACTTGGTGCTGTACTCTACTGTAGTGAACTGCTAATAGCGCTATCCTGTTGTGTATAGTACACTGAGACACAGAAGATCATTGACGCATTTTCATAGTACAGATGTCTGACAAAGAACTCATATCCAGAATGTATAAAGAACTGAAACTCAACATTAAAAAGACAAAAACATTTTTAATAGGTGTCAAGCGAGAGTTTAAAACAAAGATACACCAAGCCTCATGTTTGTGTTCATCCATACTTCTCATGTATCAGAAGTAAATTCCTTCCAATTACGAGTACCCCACTGTATGGACAAATCAGTCTTTTAAAGCCATTCTGCTATTTCAACGTGCTGTTTTTCCCTATGCTAAAGAAGTTCATGGGAACAGCCCTGTCCAGTCTTTTTGTAGACATGTATTTGTGTTTCTGTTGGATACAAACCTGGGAAGCAGTTGCTGTGTCCGAGGGCAGCTTGTGAAAGAAACTGCTCTCAGCTTTCCAAAGTGGTTGGGTATTTCTCTCCCCGTACCTGGTAGTTATTGTGCTGCGGTCAGTCTTTATACCTCAGACACTGGAGTGGGAACAAAGTGGCGTCTTGTGGCTTGAATTTGCATTTTCCTGATGACCAAAAACTTTGAGCACATTTTCCTCTGTTTATTTATTAATCTTGGATTTTCTTTGTTAGTGAAAGGTTTACTAGTCTGCTATTTTCAAGAGTTGGCTCATTGTCTTTTTAGTGTTTTTTAAGAATTCTTTACATATTCAAGATAAGTCCTTTATCAAATATGTGTATAATGAATATTTGTTTTCCGGTGGTTGACATGTCTACTTAGTATTGGTGTCTTTGGAAGAGCAGCACTCTAAGTTTTGATGAAGTCCAATATATCACTTCGTTTTATTTTTTAATTAGTGTTTTTTGGTGTTTATCCAAAAAATACTCCAAGATTGTGAAGATGTTCTCCTAGTTTTAGTTTTCCTGGTTAAGCACATGAGTAGTTACTGGTGTGTGGTGTGAGCGAAATGTCAAGGACTTTTTCCTCATGTATTTCACCAAGTTGGTGCAGTACCATTTTATTTGCCCATAGAGTTACAGCTTCAGTTGAAAACCATTTGACTTTATATGAGGGTGAGTCTGTTTATGGCCTTCCGTTCAGTGAACTTCACTGTCACTTTATGTTAAGTCTTAAGTCAGGCAGTATAAATCTTCCAACTCTGTTCTTTTTTCCAGGTTATGTTTGCTGTTCTAGATTCCTTCTATTTTTCATATAGCTTTACAATGAGTTCATCAAGTTCTGCAAAAAAACTGCTGGATTTTTTTTGGAGTTTAGATTGTATCTGTAGGCAGTTTGGAAAGATCACTATCTTAACACCATGAATCTGGTATAGCTTGCCATTTGTATAGTTTTTCTTTAGTTTCTCTGCAGTTTTGTGTGTGTGTGTTTTTAACATTGTTTTTCAGAATAGAAGTCACTTTGACTTTTTACTAGCTATGTCTAGGCATTTTGATTTTTTTGGATGCAATTTTTGTGATATCAAAGAATCAACTTTACTGGTGCATAACTTATATCCCACAGAATATACACGTTAAAACTGTTACTATCACTGTCATGCTAAGGAAGCTTCATCGCCACAGAAAATTTCTCTTTCCCCTTGCAGTCAGTCCTCCTCCAACCCCAGGCCCCTAGCTCTGCACTCCCAGTTAGCCTTTCCTGTGGTAGAAGTGAATGGGAATGGAAAACAGGTGTGAACTCATGGCTGAGTCATGTTTTAAATTCATTCATGTTGTTGCATGACAGTCCTTTAACCCTTTTCATTACTGGGTTATTTTACTAGTTTTTGATTGCCTGGATAGGCCTGGATTTCTTCATTCACCAGATGGTGGTATTTCCACACTCTGGTCATTCTGTATGAAGCGACTTGGAACATCTTTGAGTGGAAATAG